GTCAAGCGATTTGGCTGTCATTGACGAAGTGTTTTCTGACTCCTCACTGACTTCTTTGTTGACAGAAAATACTTGGCATTAAGATATCTCGCGATGTTCTTTGTCAAGGGATTTCTCTACCACTGACGAAGTCACCGGTGGAAAATGTGACTCTCAAAAGAGATTTCTCGCTCCGGAATCCCTTTCTTCGATTTTCACTCAGTCTTTTAACCTTTTGAGAGTCGGCGGGCCATTGTATGGGTTTGAAATAAAATTTCGTTCATTATTCACCAGATACGGAGAAATTCGCGTATCTCTTTGCTGGAAATATTTTACATTTCGACGTAGTAGGTACGAATCGCAATACCGTAATCGCTACACCTGCTGGAAATATTCGAAATTCGAGTGGAAAATCGATGCCTCAAAATAACCCTGTGAACATGTTATTCTCGAAATTTCCAATTCAATTTCGAAGTCAATATTTGTTTACACCCTTATTTGTTTAATAAAATACACGAGCTATTGTTTGCTCGTTAAATAGCTAATTGCGCGTATAAAAATAATAGAAGGGGAATTAGGCATCTTAATTTATACCGCTCCCTTTTTACCGCGATATGTCGAGGGAAATTGAAAGAGAAAAATTTCTCCCGCTAATGGCGAAATTATACTATTCGTATTTCAGCTGTTATTATCTTTGAAATATCATGGCAGACGCGCGATAAAAACTGGGCTCATCGCGGGTGCAGGAAAATACGAGTATACCGGGTAGGAAGAATTGGCAAACAGGTGGAAATTCTCTATCAACCTGACGTACGAATATTTAAAAAACAAAAGGAAGAAGGCCTAATTATTATATCAGCGAAGCACGCGGATGGAACAAAAATGGGCGTCGGACGGAAGCAAATAATGACGGCGTTGAACGAAACTTAATATTCGCTGAAAAATTATCCGAATAATTATTCCAAAAATCAGCGTAAATCTCGGTACGAATTCTCGCGTTTCCGCTTGCCGGAAAATACGCTTCCATTTCTGTCCGCGATTTTCTATCACCGGCACCGATCAATTAACCGTTCCGCAGTCGATCGCTCTAATAATTGTAACTTGCACGTTGTTTACGCAATCCCGTGTAATTTCACATCGAATTCCTAACGCGATTCGTATTATCGTCTATGCGGGTCGATTTTAACGAGCTTCGTTTCGTGTCGCGATATCTCTTTGGACTCATAAAAGGTCGTTAGCGAAATCCGTGCAAAATTTACCGGCTCTCGTTTGGCGTGCGAAAAAAGGAAAATATACGACAGGGGAAGAATGAATTTAAAATACCAGAAACTCGCGTTTGACTAACTGTCGTCTATTCTTCTAACGGCACAAAGAGAAAAAGGAATGAAGTTGAAAAATGCACGAGGAAAATTGCATTTTCGTCGATTTTTCTTTTTTTTCATATTAAACGATAAGAGGAATATTCAACGAATAATCGTTAGACACTACTCGATGTGGAATGTTCGTTACGAGACGAATTTGCAACGTAGAAATATTTTGTCGATTTTTATTCCACTCTTTGCGCTTCGTTGGCGCCATTATGGACAAGTTGATAATCCGCGGGGTGGTTTTCCGATTCGTTCGCACCGACTGAGATAAAGAATGAAGTAGAACTATCGTGTAAATGAAAGTGTTAAATGTCAAAAACATTTTTAATTCTCAGTTCCCTTTTTCCGAAATTAAACTGCCGCTTCCAAAAAATTTGTCAGGGAAATGTGCGGGGTTGTTCATCGAATTAAAAAATTCTCGGGGTGCAAAATGGCGACCCTTTGAGCCGGTATTCATCTGCGATTCGTGGCTTATTTTATCCTCGATAGAAACAGAAAAGGAGAGTACTTTGACAAAATATTTCCAATTTTTCCCTTTTCCAAATAAAATTAAAAAATTCCAAAATTTCCCGTGTCACGAGTCTGTTTGAAACCCTTGATTAACCGAGCCGAAAAATCCTCAAAGTACGAAGGATTAGCAATTCCCTTCGTGTCATGAAAGGAAGCTGAAGTTAAATCTTAAATTAACCTTTCCCTTTGATTTCATTGGAAATAAATCATAATCCTTGACAGGAGCGGATCTAGGTATTGGGAAATAAATAGTTGAGAATATTTGCTTTTACGAGTAACTTGAAATTCTCTTGAGTCTTCCGCTCAGTGGCTCCACGCAATTTTGAACCCCCGTGCCCCGCCATGGAAGCGATGAAAAATTCGAAAATAATTTTTCCGTATATCCTCGCGCTGCTGGGTGCACCATGGAATTTAATTCGCGCGAGTACTCGGTCGTCGATGGCCTCTCGCGTTATTTCATCGTTAATTGAGCTTATTTCCGCAGCCTCTTACCCCCGTGAAACGCACCGCTGCGAGTCCTTTCTCCCTTTCGTCCGCTAAATTAAATGAAGCCATTTTATTACACATCCAATCCCGTCGATGAAGGAATTTTCAATTATCGTCGGGACCTCGTTACGCTCCTCGTCGGCCCATTTACAAATAACCCTTGTGCGGATTCCTTCTCCACCCCTTCGTGCTTGTGCAGAACCGCGGTCGCTTCGGGTAAAAATAATAGCATAGGTTGCGGTTACTTTGTCCGCTCTTTTAGCGGGATATCACAGGCTTTCCACACTGGCAGACTCAACGATGAGAAATGGACAGACGTGTTCGACCGACGACATCGTTATCTTGGAATTTAATTAATACAGGGGTGCGAAGCGATTGAGGGAAAATGAAGCGACGAGACACGTTAGATAAGTCGAGAATTCTGATTTCTCTTTTAAACCCTGTCAACTTTGCCGTTTAATCTGGGTATTTTCCTGTTTACCTATGAAAATGTGAAAATAGGAAAGGGTGTTTTTGTATTTTGTATTTTAATACGTGACACTTGAGTCGCGTAGAATTTTTATTAAATCCTTGATTCATAGTGGAAGCAAGTTTCTTAACATTGGTGGCAAATTATTTCTGTTATGTGCATTTAGGTATTTTCCTATTCATCTATGAAAACATAGAAAGGTGTTTTCCAACTTCATACTTTAATACTTGATTCAAATATTTATTAAGATATGTTTAAAAAATATGGAAAAAAGAAGGAAATTTGTATGATATCCTCAGTTCATGATGTCAGAATGTCGAAGAATCGGAAATAATCAAAGACGATATTGTGCTTATGAGAAAACGAATCTAGGAATGCACTTGAATATTTAGGATATACGAGCATATGGAGTGACTGATCAAGGAAGGGAAAATGAGTTTGTAAGAGGAGAAAATGAACGAGGTAAAAATAAAAGAGCGAAAATGGGAGAAGAGAGTTTGAAACAGCGAATATTAAAGTGCAGAGCTTAAACTTTTCGCGGCACAATTATAATATCATTACAACCAGATATCTTGCGCGTTTTACTTTTCATCCCTCTAACCTCGTCTCGCCACTACGTGAGATTTAAATTAAAATAATTCCTATAATACTTACGAGTTTCTACGTTTTACAGAGAATAGTAATAATAATACGTATTCTACCTTAACAGGCCCTGCCTTAAACGGGGATACTATAGTTTGGAATACTATAGTTTGAGATACCATAGTCTAGGATACCATAACCATAGGATACTGTAGTCCTAGGATACCGTATCCATAGGATACAGTAGCCATAGGATACAGTAGCCATAGGATACAGTAGCCATAGGTACCATAGGATACTGTAGTCCTAGGATACCGTATCCATAGGATACAGTAGCCATAGGATACAGTAACCCTAGGATACCACAGTCCTAGGATACCATAGCCTTAGGATACCATAGTCCTAGGATACCACAGCTCTAGGATATCATAGCCCTAGGATACCATAATAGCCGTAGGATACCATAATAGCCATTGGATACCATGGTCCTAGGATACCATAACACTAGGATACCATAGTTCTAGGATACCGTAGCCCTAGGATACCGTAGCCCTAGGATACTGTAGCCATAGGATACAGTAGCTATAGGATACCGTAACCCTAGGATACCACAGCCCTAGAATACCACAGTCCTAGGATACCATAGCCCTAGGATATCATAGCCCTAGGATACCACAGCCCTAGGATACCACAGCCGTAGGATACCACAGTCCTAGGATATCATAATAGCCGTAGGATACCATAATAGCCGTAGGATACCATGGTCCTAGGATACCATAACACTAGGATACCATAGTTCTAGGATACCATAGCCATAGGATACCATAGCCATAGGATACCACAGACCTAGGATACCACAGCCCTAGGATACCACAGTCCTAGGATATCATAATAGCCGTAGGATACCATAATAGCCATAGGATACCATGGTCCTAGGATACCATAACACTAGGATACCATAGTTCTAGGGTACCATAGCCATAGGATACCATAGCCATAGGATACCACAGCCCTAGGATATCATAACCCTAGGATACCATAGTCTAGGGTACCACAGACTAGGGTACCATAATCTAGAAACCATAGTCTAGAATACCACAGCCTAATCGCGACATAATTCCTAAGAAGACTTACTTCTATCCTACTCTAAATCATACAAATAAACTCCACAGCGCTACTTACGTCCACCTAAAACCTTCCAACTTTCCAAATATCATTCGCATAGTCCAACGAATCCAAGGAACCGAGCGATTTTCCAATACCTTCCTTCCCTTGAATACACATCGAACTTCTCGCGATTCCATTCCAATGCAATTGTAATCCGCGCGATCGATCGCGGCCGCCAGGCATCCGGAAGCTGGAACCGTGAGGATCGACCGAGTCGATGATCGACCGAAGATCTCTCTCTAGAAACACGACCTACACCGTTCGCGTCTGGAGAACAAAGTTCCGTGACGTAAAACATCGTTTCTGATTCGTCGAGCAGGCCGAGTCCGATGCTCGTTAAGTTTCTTCGTCCGTTGCTGGTGGCTGGCCCGGTACCAGCACAGGGTGGCGCAACTTTCCACCCCTACTCGACACGCTTTCTTATCGGGCGATCGGTCATAATGGCGACCGATAAGTGCATAGGAAGGCGAAAAACAACGGGGAAGATAGGAGAGAGAGAAGGTGGTGAAACGGGACGGCTGAAAGAGAGGAAGGAGAGACAGCTAGAGCAAAGAATTAGAGGTCTCGTTGGCCAAAAGGGAGGGCAGCTGCCGGAAAAGCGGAACGGAAGATCGGCCGAGAGAAAAGTTTCGAAGCGGCAGGAGGCCGGGAGGCAGAAGAGGGTAACACAGTGGAAGAAACGGGACCAGGGAGGTCGGGTAGGGCTGGAAAAAGAAAAGCTTCACGCTATTTTAATCCAGGAGTGGGTGTCCCAGCTAGAAGCGGATTTAATCAACGCCCATTATGCGCGCTCTCGCTGGAATGATACAGTTTTGTTCGAGTTTCTTCGGGACTTTTCGCGCCGACGGCTCTGAAAGAAGAGCTATCCGTGCTCCAGGTTACCAATTACCACCTGGAAACTTATTCCGCGACTCTCTGCGCTCTGTTCCTCTTCTCCCTTCCGTCCAACCCCCGGCCTCGTGCGCCGTCCTTCTATCGCGCCTTAATTAACGACACCGGATACGCCCGAAGAGACTCGGCGACACGGAAACCGACGATTTCACTTTCTTCCGTGCCTCTGATTTTTCCTGTCCGCACCCTCGTCGTCATGGTTATCGAATTCCAACAACGCCGTTGTTTCCCTGCGCCCGGATCCCGCCGTTCGCCAGTGAATATGTTTTGTTATGGATCCGTCGTAAGGAGGACACCGCGGAGGCCATGTTGGGCAAACTTGCGAGGATACGCGACCGACTTGAGTAACAACTTCGAAATCACAGCCGGAATTCGGATGATTCCATCTTTTTCCGTTCGTTCCGCTACGACTCGCGAGCAAATCATTATACGTGACCAAGTTGAACATAAACAGCACTCGAATACCGAAGAATAAGTTAGGTTTGATTAAAATCGGGAAAAACATATGTAGTTCATTTCTATATATGTATATATATGTAGTTTAAATAAAGATGAACAAAGAAAGCTTCTTTTGGTTCCATTTGACGTTACGTAACGAAGCTTCACGCAACACTACTCTCTCGAAAAGATGGACCCTCTTTTTGCCTAATTGCTCTTATGGAGGCATCATTCTCACCCTTGACGATAGATGGATTTACAATTTCCAAACTTAGAGTATTTTAAACTATAGTAACCTAAACTATGGTATCCTAGACTATGGTATCCTAGACTAGGGCACCCTAGATTATGGCACTTTAGATTATGGTACCCTAGATTATGGTACCCTAGATTATGGTACCCTAGATTATGGTATCCTAGACTATGGTATCCTAGGCTATGATATCCTAGAACTATGGTATCCTAGACTATAGTATCCTAGACTATGGCACCCTAGATTATGGTACCCTAGATTATGGTATCCTAGATTATGGTATCCTAGACTATGGTATCCTAGGCTATGGTATCCTAGATTATCGTACGCTAAATTATGGTACCCTAAACTATGATATCCTAGCCTATGGTATCCTAGGCTATGGTATCCTAGACTATGGTTACCCTACACTATGGTACCCTACACTATGGTATCCTACACTATGATATCCTAGAACTATGGTATCCTAGACTATAGTATCCTAGACTATGCCACCCTAGATTATGGTACCCTAGATTATGGTATCCTAGACTATGGTATCCTAGGCTATGGTATCCTAGGCTATGGTATCCTAGATTATCGTACGCTAAATTATGGTACCCTAAACTATGATATCCTAGTCCATGGTATCCTAGGCTATGGTATCCTTGGCTATGGTATCCTAGAACTATGGTATCCTAGACTATGGTATCCTAGACTATAGTATCCCCGTTTAAGACAGGGCCTGCTAAGGTAGCCTTACCGATGTGTCCCAGAACCAAACACACCCCTTCCTTTTCCTTTCATTCCTTCTAGCACCACCGTCATATCGAAGATACCTGCAACCAGCCGATCACAGCAATTTCGGGGGGAGGACCCCCCACGTCCTTAAAAACTACCCTCGCTCCTTCGATCGCCGAAACTATTACAAACGTTTCCCCGATGGGTCTGGTTTTCGTCCTATCCATTAATTTTCTTTCACCTTCTCTCACTTTCTCTTTTACAGCTCTTTTCCGTTCTGTGCCCCTCAGTTCTTCAGTCCACTACGAATCCGATCGTATTCACATTCTAGTGAAATCTGATTTACCATTTTGAGGCTTCCACTAATGTCTACGGAAACACGCGTGATCTGACAGTGTCTCATTGTCATACAGACATCGGTGGAATCATAAATGTTCCGCAGCCAGCAAAGAGGGAACTTAGACGTGATTAAAATGACGGAAAGCACGCGGTCGGATTCGCTGCTGTATAAAGTTGGCCGTGATTCCAAGGAGCATCCCGGTGAGACCTGGTTCGCGATTGACGAACGGGTTTGGAATCTCAAACAGGAGACCCAGTGGCGGCATGTATCGACGCGGAGTTAAAAATTGCAGACGTGGAAGGACTGCTGCGAGGCCTGCGTCGCTGAAATTGAGCGAGGAAAGTATACAACCCGTGGAAAGAGGAATTAATGCACGAATATTGAATAACGTTTCCCCTTACGAGCTCTGAAGAAGTCGTTGCGTTGCAAATGAGAGCTGAGATCAAGTTCAATCCCTTTGGATGCATCTGTGATTCTTGGGGTAACTTGATGTTGCGAGATGAGGAGACTCAGGGAGTTGGATTCCCGGTAGACTGATAAAGTTACGCTTACTATGTGCACTCTGATTTTCCACTCTGATTTTCCTCATAACGTACTTAGAACGCGATAATAGATTCTATTCCAGATCTTCCTATGAAAATCTTTGCTCGTTGTTATGTGAAAGTCTCTCGAGTTTGAGACGCGTTCACTCGTACGAGCATCCCCGATGTCATTGCTTCGTGCAAGTTCCGTTCAAAATGTATCTACGCTTGCTATTCATCCCATTATCGAAGATATCTTTTGGATTAGTTACGTGGCTTTCGAATTTTCCCAGGTGTCCATCTATATGACCACGAGGACAATGCTATTAGGCCACGCGTTGATTAGCTACGCGTAGATCACAGTAATCTATACACTATCATCCTATTTTAACAAACCTATTATGAAATAGTAATGAAAGATTCAGCACTCTACTATGCGATTCCTCTCACGAAATTATCAAAACGGGATTTTCTGAGGATTTCCAGACAAATCAAGGATATCTTGTTCAGTCATCTCAAACGAAAAATCGCTCTACAGCACGAAGAATCTTCTAAACCCGAAATTCTCGCAAATTTTCTACAATGACACGAGAAAGGAAATTTCTTCCCGTAATTTTCGAGAAAAATTAATTTCTCAACGACAGCGAGACTCTCGAGAAATTGGAATTCCCGATACGAAAGATCGATATTCTTGCGAACAGCGAGAAAAATAGGATCATAAATCGGACGGTTGTTTTCGAGATTAATCGTCCATAATTAACGCGGTTCGCGAAGCATCCCGATCGACCAGACGGAAGTATTTACCCCCGGCACTCGGTCGATACAGACTAATTGTAGGATTATCCCTTAATCTGACAGTAACGTTCGATTGGCCGGGAACAGGAATCGCGCGATGTTTACTTAATTACCAGCAACGCTATCGCGGAGTTACATCGGCCGCGCCTCTGCCGGTGAATCGATGTACCAAACGGCTGGACGCATAAAAGTTTCAATCGAGAAGGGTTAATTTTCCGAGTAGAAAGCCCCCGCACTCTCGACGTATGAATTCGCCATAACGCCAAGTAATTCCGCGTTAAACATTCAACGATTAATCACCCGGTGTTTAGGCACGCCGCCCACTTAACCAACCCCCTCGAGGAATTACCAATGGAATTCTCTGCTCGACCGTTTCCGACGCGAGTATTTATGCTCTTTTAAAGACGAAGTGGCCCGAAGAGAGGAAAAGCGTCTCGTTGAGGAAGAAAAATGGCGGCTGCACAAAGGACCAACCGCGAGAGGTTCGTTTTCCTTTTTGAATAGGCGGCTTGGAAAATGCTCGTAAACATCAGCGGTTGCTCTTCACGCGTCGAAACAGCGGCAACCATTCTGCCTTTTGCCGTGTAATCGATCATTTTACGAGCCGGGATTTCTCAGCCCGCTGCGTTGTAACAAACGAATTTTTAAATCCGACCAACGCCGGGGAAAACGAACGAAAAGCGCGAGAAAATATCTTCGAATTCGACGCGCGGCATTCGAAGAGGGTGACTTTGACCAGCGTAGCGGAGGGGTTGAAAGAGGCTCGGCGAGGGGTGCACCGTTCGACTAACAATGAAAAATAGCCGGGCGAACCGAGCCATCTTTCGCGATCAGCCCGAACAGGGGAAATATATCTGCCGACCCTGTACGGCCGGCAGAAGAAACGGCTCGGTGGCTGCAATTACAGGGAGAACGGACGCGAAATTAATGCCAATCGATTTCGTGCAAGCCGTAGATTTCCGGGCGCCCTGGTCCGGCCGAACTCTCTCAAAAATTAACGACGACAAGTCCATTCGGGGTCTTACTTGTTAGTTTTCCTCGAGACACCACTGGGAAAGCCGTTGAATCACGGTCGATGGAGATGGAGACACGGATAGGGAGGATGAAAGGTTGGATGAAAGGACAGGGACAGGGGTGAGAAGAAGGGACGTACAAATTGGGAAAAGCGGAAAAACAGCGCTGGATGCCGGCTGCAACTGGGCTAGCGGGTGGCAGGGTGCAGGGAGGGTGCTCTATGGCGGTAATTATGGTGGTTGATGAGAGTTTCACGCTGGGTCGGACCGCAGCCACCATCGAGCCTGTACCACGGCGAAACTGTGGTGACTCCGTGTGTGTTTGGCAGAGTATTGCCTGGATATAGAGTGAACGAGGCTACCAGTTCACCGTATGTCAGCGGCACGCGTGCCGGACGTTAATGTCCGCGGACTGTTGCGGGACGAAAAGATCGGCCGATCGAGTATCGAAGCTCGCTTTCTTCCTGCAACTGCACCGATAAATGGAGGGATATTTGTCTTTCCGGCAAGCTGGCTTCTCACCTTTCATCGACCAACTTTCCACTAACTTTCCGGCAACTTTCGCTGCTGGGAAGGGGGTTGCTAGGGCGCGAGACACGGGGGATCCCGGACGACTTTCGTCCGCCACGAGTGTTCGGATTGTAGGATCAGAGATCGGTCGGACGGAAATTAATTGGCAGAGTTGTGCAACTGTAACGCGGAGTTAGGTTTAATACACTCGATGGCGATGTTTAATATGCTGACGGCCCTGGTGGTCATGGATGACCGGTGCTAGGACTCTCAGTGACGCTCTGTGGTCGATGAAATGTGGCGGCAGAATGTGCGCGCCAGGAACGTTTACAATTTTGGAAATGTAATTAATGAGAAATAATGAAACATATCGCAGACTTTCGTTTTTCAAATATTATTAACCCGTTCGCTGTCAACTGCTAGACCTCTCGTAGTAAGCGTATGTTGTTTGGATTGGTTGCAATTGATCGCGGAATAAGTTGACAGCTGTTTGAGTTAGGAATTATTATACAAGATGAACAATTTTTTAAATTGTAAATGCCATTTTAGTATTTTGTCTGTAACTAAAGATTATTAAATTTCTCGAAATTCCATGTTTGCTTTGAAATAAAATCTTGGCTCCCAGGGCAAGACTCTAAATTTGTTTGACAGCGAATGGGTTAAGTTGCCTAATTTTTTGAAGATGTAATATTCATTTTTCTTTTTTTTTCTTTTCTCTGCCTTCCTTACACACGCGAACATAGAATTGATATTAAAATTGTAACTGGAGGAAAATGTAATTGTGTTGAAACGGAAAAATTTGAATTTGCCGGGCTCTGGAAAGGAGTATCGATTCCTGATCGATTGGAGTCCCTGTTTTTGGTCCTGAGAACCCCAATGGAATATAAGAAAGAGTCTTATATTTTCCAGACAACCATACGTGGTCAAAGATAAAAGTGTAATTATCAGAAATTGAATGTACGAATATAATCGTACAACATATGGTTCTAATATGGGTCAAAAGTAAACCACTCGAGATAGTGAACTCGTTAAAGTGGTATGATAAGAACAAATAGATGTATATAATTACGTTCCCACCTTGATAAAGCTCGACTGCATGTTCTCACTATCGATACCGGTAAACACGAATTACCCAAGACGATACGCGATAACCCCATAGGCGTAGGAGGCCCACGTATGACCGCTTCCCGACTTCCTCTTTCCTGTTTCCTCATTTATTCCTCATCCGTCGCGTTTTAATCATTCAAATCCCGCTTTGTCTATTATACTTGTGCCGCTGTCGCTATAACTACTCGTTATGTTTTAGCATGATCCTAATGAAACCTCGTCACGCAACGAAGAAAATAGAATAATTAACCTCATGAATATATCAGGGAGAAATTCTCTCAATTACCTCTGTGAAACTCGATATATTGAATAATTATATCATGAAATATTAATCATGTCCCGAATACTGCAATCACCGCGAATTCTCGGAACCCTGTCACCAATTTCACCCAGCCAGCTCGTAGCTAGATTTTTTCCACGCTGTACCACGCTCCCGATATCGACTGTGACATCGCTGTCATCGCTGTCAACGTTTATGCTCGCGAAGAATGCAACTCGAGGCTTTCTCGAAGCGTGCTTCCATTTTCATTACCGGCGCGCCATCTACGTTGCAGGGTTGTTGATTAGGTCTAATCGTGGGCGAGGAATTTGCTCGAACTAATTATTATTCATGGTTAAACAGATTAACCTGATAAAAATATAAATGCATCGGGTGACAAGGAAGAATAATGACAGAAATAACGAGAAAGAAATAGGATAGTATAAGAGTACCATTGGCGTAGTCAGCTATTGTTTCATATTTTCCGGCGAAGAGACACCTCGAAGAAATAAATGCACTTTTACATCTGACGTGACAGAACACCATAAATTTCTTGGTCAGTCGTAGGAACCAGTGTTCGCGGATGAGAATGATTAATTTTTCAGACTTTTCGCACCAGGGTATTGGATAACTCTCTATATTTGAAGGAAATTTCTAATTTTCGTTTTTCGATCATCCGTGTGACAAATGATCGACCTGCTTGACGAAGACAAATAAGTTGGAACTGGTATAAGAAGAACGGTATGATCTGAGATAAGAACAATTATGATATCTCGGATACGACAATGATACAATCGATAGACTGACGCGAATACGTCTCAATCCAAAGCTTTATTGCGGTACTGTCGACGAGTATATTCGTCGTGTAAAATGAAAAATTACCATTTACTATAAAAACTCGAAATTTCAATAAAATGTAATATAATTTAAAAACTTGAAATTTCAATAAAATGTAATAATAAAATCATTTGTTGGTATGTTTTCTTCATATTACCAATAAAACTGAAATGTATTTTAATAATAATAATAATAATAAATTTTTGTAAACTGATTATTTTCTCCAATTGACCGAATTATTTTATTTATTTTACTGCACACTGAAAAATACTGCACTGAAATCGACTGAATTTCTCCAAATTATTTCTTTCCTTTAATTTCCCTTTTTAGTGAATTTTATTATTTTTTGGCAATTTTTACGTTTTTAATAACGACAACATCTCAACGATGAATCGTGACTCTTTCATAGAAGAAAAATGTAATCCATCGTACATTTTACTTTACTTTTCCCGTAAAATTTATAATAGCAGTATGTCCCCTGCGTTCGATGTACAG